CTCGTAGCCCTCATTTAACATCGCCTGATTTTTGGCTTCGGGGCTACCTCAAGGACCTTGCCCTACGCAGAGAAACCACACAGCATGGAGTACTTGAAGACGGTGATCCATGAAAAGATGAATGGAATCCCAAAGGACATGATTGCACGTGTGACGGAATCCGTCACACAACGCGCTCATCGACTGATTCATATCTATGGTCGTCAACTGAAAGATTAATTTTTGTTTCCTTAGAAATGTGGGTTTTTGCCGTTGTTTAAAGTGAAGATGTAGCGGTTCTTATAGAGAATTGTCTTGTCTTTCGAATGATCTAAACCGGAATTAAATCCGATGACTCAGTCACGAGTTATGAACGGTCAAAAGGTGGAGGGGACTTTTGACTCACCCTGTATAGCCTACCATGGACATTTATTAACTAGCGAGTTTGTTTGCCCAAAGGCAAACAAATTCGCTATGGTCGCGCCTTCGGCGCTCCATTACCTTGGATAGTGATTAATTCATTCATTTTTTGCGAAATGGGAAACACGTATTTAAAGTGCGTAACCATTGAAATACGTGACATATGGAGTCGAAAGTCTTGATTTTTATCAAACTCTTTACTTCTATGATTCTATGTGTGCCTAACTTTAAATCTTTTCTTGTGTCCCTTTTAGTAAGGGTGGAGAATACATTTTGAAATACTTCCCTCCAATAATCTACGCTAAGTAGTCATATTTTAAAAGTATGATTTTTCCTGTACTCAGCCATTAAACAGGTATTTCTGAGGGAAGTTTAAATTTTCTGTCTCTGTTACGTTGGATCAAAAAAAAATTCAGGAAAATGGGACATAAAAAGAAGAGCCCTGATGGGTTTTAGCGAAAAAATTTTTTCCTTCTGAAATGAAGATTCAGGGAACTCCATGCCACCCAGTTTCAGCCTTATACGTTTCCCCTTTTGAATTAGCGTCAGTCAGTAAGTGACGTTCGTCTATATATATTAGAAATATATACAGGTATAGATCTCATTCCCCCTCCATAACATTATTTTTGCTTGAGTAAAACGGAGAGACATGGGAAGCTGAGACTTGGCATGGAGTTGCCTACCGTGACGATGAGTTCAGGAAAAATGCAAAATTTTAGTTCCATGAACTGGGGGGATATTTTTGTGAGCCGACGTTTTCAAGTATTTTTTTTTGTCCTGGTGTATTGAGCTAGTGTGGAAAGATGAACGTTACGTTTTCAAATAATTTTTCATATCCTAGCAAATCGGGCAGAAATAGAAAAGTAGCTGCTGGCGCACGCATAACGGACGTGATGTTGATTTAATGAAAAATTCTACTTTTGTTGTGCGTCTCCTCAGAGCACAGCTTTTGGGTTGGTCGCTTTTGCAAGTACGTTTTTTACCGCCAGTAAAAATGGGGAAACGTATAAGGCTGAAACTGGGTGGCACGGAGTTCCCTGAGTCTACATTTCAAAAGAAAAAAAAATTCTATAAAACCCATCAGGGCACTATTTTTTAAGTCCCATTTTCCTGAATTTTATTTTTGATCCAACGTAACAGAGACAGAAAATTTAAACTTCCCTCAGAAGTACCTCTTTGATGGCTGAGTACAGGAAAAATCCTACTTTTGAAATATGCCCCATTAGCGTTGATTATGAGAGGGAAGTATTTCAAAATGTATTCTCCACCCTTACAAAAAAGGACATATGAAAAGATTTCAAGTTAGGCACACTAGAAAAAATGGAAGTCATGATTTTGATTTAAAAAATCAAGGCTTTCGTCCCCATATGTCACGTATTTCAATGGGAACGCACTTCAAATACGCGTTAGCCATTTCGCAAAGAATAAATGAATTAATCACTATCCAAGGTAATGGAGCGCAGAAGGCGCGACCAACAAACTCGCTAGCATAAAATAAGAGTATAATTTTTTCTTTACTCACCTATCCATCAGGTTCTTCTTTGGCAAGTTTAAACTTTCTTGCTCCCTCTGTTTTGTTGGATCGAGAAAATACGCCTTTTGCAATATACACTCAATGTCCACAAAATTAGAGATACCTCACTAGTAGCGTGTTGGACCGCCTTTGGCCCTCAAAACAGCATCAATTCGTCGTGGC